TGGCCTGCCAACATTTTCTGCTGCTCTGAAAAACTTATTTTACAAGACTACAGCAGTTTAAGTGGGGTATAGAACCTAATGAAGATGAAACAAGGATTTGGAAGGAAAGAAGAAAGAGATGAGGGAGGGAAGGAGGGGAGATGGGTGGGTGGACAGGCAGGTCAGTGGATGGGTGGAAGGGGGAGGGAGGGAGGTAAGGAGAAAAGAAAAGAGAAAGGAAGGAAAGAACTAGAAAAATCCTATTGATGACCCTCTTAGTTATCTAGTGCTGCTATAACAGAAATACCACAACTGGTGGCTTTAAAAAACAAATTTATTTTCTCACAGTTTAGGAGGCTAGAAGTCTGAATTCAGGGCACTGTCTCTAGGGGAAGGTTCTCTCCATCAGCTTCGGAGGACCGTCCTTGTCTCTTCTGAGCTTCTGTTCATGGGAGATCTTCATGTAGCTTACATGTGTCTTCCCCCATCTCTGCTTCCTTAATCTGCTCCTTTTGTATTTTACAAGAGATTAACTCAAGACACAACCTACACTAATCCTGTCTCATTAACGTAACAAAGATAAGCCATTCCCAAACAGGATCATAGCCACAGGCATAAAACCAAAAACCAAACCCGTTGGCCTTGAGTCGATTCTGACTCATAGCAACCCTATATGACAGAGTGGAACTGTCCCATAGGGTTTCCTAGGCTGTAATGTTATAGGAAGCAGAGCAGCTGGTGGGTTTGAACTGCTGACTTTTTGGTTAGTAGTCAAGTGCTTAACCATTACGCCACCAGGATAGGATTTACAGCACATATTTTGGGGGGACACAATTGAATCCATAACAATGACCCTGTGGATGCTACTTACACATGTGGTGGCAGTTCAAAGAAGTTGACCCCTTGGTAAAGTTCCATCTGGTTCATAGTGTAGATTCCAAGCTCCTGGTACGGATTCACAGACACAAGGAGAGTCCCAATATATGTCTAGAGGAATGGAGCAAAGCATTAGTGAGGAATTCCACTGTGCAAATGGCTACAGCAAAAGACCATCACGCACTATGATCCCCATGTGCTCATTCAGTGCTGAGATAACACGGTGGGCTGTCTACTGTCATGGAGCTTACAGGGGACAAGGGACACACAAACAACCAAGGGATCAAGATAGCTTCCATTAGAGATAAGTGTTAACAAAGATGTAAACAGAGCAATGAGAGAATGAATGACTAAGGAAGACCACCATACTAGTACGCTTAGGGAAGCCTTCTTTAAGGAGGTGACATCTGAGCTGAGATTTAAAGGAGGAGGAGCCAGCTGTGAATAAAGGTAGGCAGGAAGGGACATTTCAGGCTGAAAGGACGAGTGTGGCAGGCTGGTTGCACTGGCGACCAGTGCGGCTGCAGCCCAGTGAGGAAGAGGAGGATGGGAAGAGATGATATTGGAGAGGGAGTGGAGCTCCCATCATGTAAGAATTGGGGTTTCATTCAAAATGCAATGGATGGTGGAGCAGAGATACCCTTCCCCTACTAAAATGAAATACCTGCCCTCAACATTGATATGTGAGCGAAATAAACGTCTATGGAAAATATAAATTGCAATGGATGGTTTTAAGAGGAGAGTGGGAATGATATACTTTCTGTTTCACAAAGGGCTCTTTGGCCACAGGGTGAAAGCAGAGAGAGTATATATAGACCAGCCACCTAAAGTCGGGCAGATATTCCCATCACTGGCATCTATTTCCCTAGATTTCAGTGTTAGAGTCCATTAATATCCAGAAGCTGTTCAATTACTCACATTTGTAATATAGCCACTAGTGTAAGACTTCTTGGAATGTGCTTATGAATAAATGAAGCTCCAAGCTCTTATACAGAAAACAAACATTTAGGTTTCTTCTGGTCTAAATATATCTGTATTTAGCACCAGTCCCTGGGTGGTGGCAAACGGTTAAGTGCTCAACTACTAGCTGAAAGGTTGGAGGTTTGAACCTACCCACAGGCACCTTGGAAGACAGGCCTGGAGATCTGTTTCTGAAAGATCACAGCCTTGAAAACTCTACAGAGCAGTTCTCCTCTGCACACATGGGGTTGCCATGAGTGGAATCACCTTGACAGCAACCACCACCAACCAATACATCTGGCATTTTCAGATTCTGGGTTTATTGTTACCGTTTTTCATTTCAGAGTCTCAGGTACTGGAGGTATGAAAGCCTACACTCAGATTTGCTGAAAACATTCCAAATGATGTTTCTAATCTACTGGACAAAGTCAAACAGAGAACCGGAAGACAGAGCAGTATTTTGACTGAAAGGCACACTGGTGGTGCAATGGTTAAGCACTCAGCTGCGAAACTAAAGGTTGGTGGTTCAAATCCACCCAGTGGCGCCATGGGAGAAAGACCTGGCAATCTGCTCCCATAAAGATTTCAGCCTTGGAAACCCTAAGGGACAGTTCAACTCTGTTTTATAGGGTTGCTATGAGTCGGAATTGACTCAATGGCACATGACAACAACATTTTGACTAAAATTCTGCATTGCTTCAATCAATAAGAATCTAATTTTCCAGAGTATAATACAGTGTCTGAAACTTCTCTGTTCAAATCTGAAACACTGAGTTTAGCTACGACAATCTCATCACCCCACTTACATTTCTCCACACCATGTTATTTCCCTTTTTGCTTCCACATAAAATCAGTTTATTTTTTTTCTATTTCCACAAGAGTGGTATTTCTGAAAGTTAGGTGATACAAGATACACTCTAAGTAACACCTTCCTTATTTCCTCTGGTAAACTTGGTTTCAACATATAGATTAAGCCACAGCCACTATTATAAACCAAATAACTATAAAACGTATTTTTAAAAATGCTTCTATTGGCCTAATTTATTCTTAGAAAAAGCTAATAAAAATCTCAGTAAAATTTAATAATTTCCATAATGCCCCCCACTCCACATACACACATCCTATGGAGTTTACTCTAGAGGAAATTACCAGAAAATTGACCAATCACATCAGGGTATGGTGATAAATGGAGAAGTGAGAATTTCAACCTGAGAGAAGTTCTGGTCAGGTGGTTGGGTGGGTGGGTGGGTGGATGGGGGTGGAAATAGGTAGTGGTGGACATTTACTTTTTTTTTTTTTGCCTGTCTGGCATCAGTACCCCCTTCTAACAAATTCCTTTGAGGAATCCTCTTTCCTAGCTCTCAGTCCATATGGGCTGGGGGGCAATGACTCCGGCCCTCAACCCTGAGGGGCGGGTCTGAGTAACCCAGCCTGGCCAATCAGAATGTTGCTCAGAGATATTGGTTCTGAATATTAGTTCAGAGACAGACACATGACCCAAATTGGTTGGCCAATCAGAGCCAACCAATATCTGCTGAGACATTTAGTAGAACTCTTGCTGGGAAGACATGCTGTCTTCCCAGTAGCAACACTACCCGTTGCCACCCAGTTGATTCCAACTCAGAGTGACCCTATAAGACAGAGCAGACCTGCCCCATAGGGTTTTCAAGGCTATAAATCTTTATGGAAGCAGACTGCTGCATCTTTCTCCCACGGAGAGGCTGGTGGGTTAGAGCTGCCAGCTTTTCAGTTAGCAGCTGAGCATTTAAGCACTGCACCACCAGGGCTCCTTGTAGCCACACTAAGCTGATAAAGCGACAGCCTGAATCTCCTGGCAGCCATCTTGCTACCATGCAAACAGAGTCAGCCTGAGAAGTTGAGGCAAAGGAAAGCAGAGCACGGAGATGGAGAAAGAGTCCTCAAGACATCTCAGACCCTAGATCTATTCCTGGACCTTAAAGTCACATAAGTAATAGACTCTCTTTTGGGACTTGTTGTTGTTGGGTGCTGTTGAGTAGATTCAGACTCATAGCGACCCCACGTGACAGAAGACAACTGCCCTATAGGGTTTTCTTGGCTGTTATCATTATGGGAACAGATCGCCATGTCTTTTCTCCCACAGAGAGGCTGGCGGGTTCAAATTGCCAAACTTCCAGTTAGCACTTGAGTGCTTAACCATTGCACACCAGTGCTCCTTTCTGGGGACTTAGGCAGGTTTAAAATCGGTCTCTGTCACTGGCTGCATTAACAGCCTTACCACAAAGGATCAAAGTGAAACTGATAGCAGTCTCGTGACACTGCCCTTTCACGGCTAAGCTAACAGAGCGATATTGTTCAAGAGCAGCAAGGCTGTGAAAGTACAGAGGGAAGCATTCCAGAAAGATGGGTGAAGTTACATATATGAGGTTCTCGCTGAAACGCTTGCGAAGATTGTCCACAAAGGCAGATTCGCTGGTGTACGCATCCAACAGCACAAAATCCTGCACCCCGACCTTGTCCCGGGCCGTCAGCGCGCCTTCCATGTGCAGACAGATGTGCTTCCTCCTCACCTCTTCTTTCTAGGGAAACAGAACATTTCTCAGCAGCCGGTTCATTGGATAATTTGTATTGCACATCTATTATGGAAATAACAAGATGTTAGACCCTGGGGGTAGAAGACAGCCAAGAATAAATTAATTCTGTTCTCTTAAGAGTTCACAACCCGGTTAGGGATACAAGACAATAATAATAATAACAGCAACAGTAGCAGTTTACAGGAACTAAGGATTTACTGTGTTCTAAACAGGTGACATGTATCATCTTGTTTAATCCTCTCTTTCAACCCTATGACCCAAAAACCCTTTGCTGTCAAGCCGATCCTGACTCACAGATACCCTAAAGGACAGAGCAGAGCTGCCCCATAAGGTTTCCAAGGCCGTAATCTTTAAGGGATTACAACCAAAAGAGAAGAACACGCTCATCATTTCTCAAGCTGAAAGAACTGAAGAAAAAATTCAAGCCTCAAACTGCAGTATTAAAAGATTCTATGGACAAAATATTGAACGACTCAGGAAACATCAAAATAAGACGGAAGGATATACAGAGTCACTGTACCAAAAAGAATTGGCCAACGTTCAAGCATTTCCGAAGGTGGAATACAATCAAGAACTGATGGCATTGAAGGAAGAAGTCCAAACTGCACTGAAAGCAACTGGCGAAAAACAAGGCTCCAGGAACTGACAGATTGCCAGTTGAGATGTTTCAATAAATGGATGCAGTGCTGGAAGTGCTCACTCATCTATGCCAAGAAATTTGTAAGACAGCTACCTGGCCAACCGACTGGAAGAGATCCATCTTTGTGGCCATTCCAAAGAAAGGTGATCCAACAGAATGTGGAAATTTTGCTGAAGATAATTCAAAAACGGTTGCAGCAGTACATCGATAGGGAACTGCCAGAAATTCAAGCCAGATTCAGAAGAGGATATGCAACAAGGGATATCATTGCTGATGTCAGATGGATCCTGGCTAAAAGCAGAGAGTACCGGAAAGATGTTCACCTGTGTTTTACTGACTATGCAATGGCATTTGACTGTGTGGATCATAACAAATTATGGATAACATTGCAAAGAATGGAAATTCCAGAACATTTAATTGTGCTCATGCGGAATCTGTATATAAACTGTTACAGATTGAATTATGTCCCCCTAAAATGTATATCAACTTGGCTAGGCCATGATTCCCAGTATTGTGTGGTTGTCCTCCATTTTGTGATCTGATGTGATTATCTTATGTGTTGTAAATCCTAACCTCTATGATGTTAACAGAGCCCTGGTAGCACAGTGGTTAAGAGCTCGGCTGCTAACCAAAAGGTCAGCAGTTCAAATCCACTAGCCCATCCTTAGAAATCCTATGGGGCAGTTCTATAGGGTTGCTATGAGTTGTAATTGATTTGATGGCAACAGTTTTGGTTTCTTTGTTTCTTTTTTTTTTTATGATGTTAATGAGGCAGGATTAGAGGCAGTTATATTAATGAGGTAGGACTCAATCTACGGATTAGTTTGTATCTTGAATCAACCTCTTCTGAGATATAAAAGAGAGAATTGAGCAGAGAGGAGAAGGACCTCATACCATCAAGAAAGAAGAGCCGGGAGCAGAGCGCATCCTTTGGACCCAGGGTCCCTGCACTAAGAAGCTCCTCGACCAGGGGAATATTGATGACTAAGACCTTCCCCCAGAGCAAACACAGAGAGAAAGCCTTCCCCTATAGCTGGTGCCCTGAATTCAGACTTCTAGCCTCCCAAACTATGAGAGAATAAATTTCTGTTTGTTCCAGCCATCTACTTGTGGTATTTCTGTTATAGCAGCACTAGATATCTAAGACATAGACCAAGAGGCAGTTGTTCGAACAGAACAAGGGGACCCTGTGTGGTTTAGAATCAGAAAAGGTGTGAGTCAGGGTTGTACCCTTTCACCATACTTATTCAGTCTGTATGCTGAGCAACTAATCCGAGAAGCTGGACTATATGAAGAAGAATGCGGCATCAGGATTGGAGGAAAACTCATTAACAACCTGCGTTATGCAGATGACACAACCTTGCTTGCGAAAAGTGAAGAGGATTTGAAGCACTTGCTGATGAAGATCAAAGACTACAGCCTTCAGTATGGATTACACCTCAACGTAAAGAAAACAAAACTCCTCACAACTGTACCAATAAGCAACCTCATGATAAATGGAAAAAAGATTGACGTTGCCAAGGATTTCACTTTACTGGGATCCACAATCAACACCCATGGAAGCAGCAGTCAAGAAATCAAAGGACGTACTGCACTGGGCAAATCTGCTGCAGGAGACCTCTTTAAAGTGTTAAAAAGCAAAGATGTCACTTTGAGGACTAAGGTATGCCTGACTAAAGTCATGGTATTTTCAATTGCCTCATATGCATGTAAAACTGGATAATGAATAAGAGTCTAAAGAACTGATGCCTTTAAATTATGGTGTGGGTGAAGAATATTGAATATACCATGGATTTCCAGAAGAACAAACAAATCTGTCTTGAAAGAAGTATAGTCAGAATGCTCCTAAGAAGCAAGGATGGCTAGACTTTGTCTCATGTACTTTGGATATGTTATTAGGAGGGATCAGTCCCTGGAGAAAGACATCATGCTTGGTAAGGTAGAGGGTCATCGGAAGAGAGGAGGATCCTCAAGGAGATGTATTGACATAGTGGCTGCAACAATGTGCTCAAGCATAACAACTGTGAGGATGATGCAGGACTGGGCAGCATCTCCTTCTGTTGTACACAGGGTCGCTATGAGTTGGAACTGACTCAAGAGCACCTAACAACAACAACAATCTTTATGGAAGCTGACTGCCACATCTTTCTCCCGCAGAGCGGCTGGTGGGTTCGAACCACGGACCTTCCGGTTAGCAGCTGAGAGTTTAACCATTATGCCACCAGGGCTCCTTTAGCTCTATGAAATAACTACTATTATCATGCTGTGTAGCTGGAATTTAGCCTCATCTTACGGGATGTCTGGACTTTGTCCCTGATCCTAAGAGGTACCCTCTAAACTTTTGGAATTTCCCAAATAATGAGGATGTCTTTCTTATTCATGGTGGGCCCATAAACCACACCTGATAGTCTATGATAAAGAGGTGACTCATGCTGGGTCCCTGGATAGTTTGTGCTAAGGAGATGACCCAGGACGGGGGCTTGCTGTGCCAGAAAGACCAAGTGTGTATTCTAGTGGAGGGTTGGGAATTTAAGCCTTGTGATATCAGCCCAACCTCCAGGGAGGGAAGGGGGACTGGAAATTGAATTCAACAACATGGCTAATGATTCAGTCAATCATGCCTAACTAATGAAACCTTACACATGATATATAAACTAACTTATGATAGATCTCAGACCTAAATGTAAACACAAAATCTATCAAGCTACTAGAAGAAAACAGAGCTGACTGTCTTCGTGTCCTGGAGGAAGGCAGTTTTCTTAGATAGAACACAGAAAAAAAACAACCATGAAGGAAAAAAAAAAAAGAGAGAGAGAAATTAGATTTCATCAAATATAAAACTTTTCATCAGGCAATACTGTTAAGAAAATAAATAGGCAAGCCACAGGCTGGAAGAAAATATTAGCAAAATATACACCTGACGAAAGATTTGTACCCAGAATTTAAAATTTCTATGGCTCAACAATAAGGAGCCCTGGTACTGCATCAGTTAAGTGTGCGGCTGCTAACAAAAGGCCGTCAGTTCAAACCCATCAGCTGCTCCTTGGGGGAAAAGACTTGGTGATCTGCTCCAGTAAAGATTACAGCCTAGGAAACCCTATGGTGCAGTTCCATTCTGTCCTATAGTGTCATTATGGGTTGGAATTGACTTGCGGGCACACAACAATAACAGCTCAATAATAACAAGATAAATCCAATAAAAATAGGGCAAAACACTTGAATGGATACTTCACAAAGGAAGACATACAAATGGTCAATACATCCATAGAAAAATGTTCAACATCATTAGGCAATAGGGAAATGCAAATTAAAATCACAGTGAGACATAGTCATAATCCAAAATAAAACCAAACTCGTTGCCATCGAGTCCATTCCGACTCATAGCGACCCTATAGGACAGAGTAAACTGCCCCATAGAGTTTCCAAGGAATGCCTGGTGGATTTGAACTGCTGACCTTTTGGTTAGCAGCCGTAGCACTTAACCACTGTGTCACCAGGGTTTCCACAGTCGTAATAGTCATGCTTAAAAAGACTGATAACCCCAATTACTGGTAAGAATGTGGAGCAACCAAAACGCTCATACATCGCTGTTGGTGGGAAGGTGAAGTCCGACAAACACTTTGGGACAAGATCTAGCAGTTTCTTATGAAGTTGTCTCATCCTTTGACTCAGCAATTCTCCTAAGTATTTACACTAGAGAAATGAAAACATATGACCACAAAAAAGATAAGAACAGAAAGGTATGTTGTTGTTGTCATTAGTTGCCATCCAGTCTGTTCTGGCTCATGGTGACCTTATGTATAACAGAACAAAACCTTGCCTGGTCCTGCACCACCTTCAAGATCGTTGGTATGGTTAAACCCGTTGTTGTGGCTATGTGTCAATCAATCTTTTACATCAGCTTTATTCATCATGGTAAAAAAAAAACTGGAAACAATCCAAATACCCATCAACTGGAGAATGAATGAACAAACTGTACATTTGTACAACGGGATGAGTACAATAAAAGAGAAATAACTGCTGATATACACAAAGACATGAATGACTCATGCAGACATTATGCTGAATGAAAGGACTCAGACACAAAAGAGTACATACTGTATGATTCTATTTATATGAAATTCTAGGACAGACAAAACTAATCTACAGTAAAAAATTGGAACAGTTGTTGCCTCGTCGAGAAGACTGCATGGCAAGGGACATTTTTTAGAGTATGGAAACATCCTATATCTTGATAGGGCTGTGAGTTACATAGTTGTATTGATTTGTCAAAATTTGTTAAGATATTGTGTGTTCCAATACATGTAAG